GCCCTTGTTGCATCGCAAGTGGTGCGAAGCTCAGCTTGCTCGATATGTGAATCTTGGCACTAATGTCAAATACCGGAAGTAGTTTTCTTGTCGTTGAAAGTATACCATTCCCTTTAATAATTGAATGTTGTCATAAGGTAAAAAAAAGTTTTACTTCTTGATTAAGTTAACAAACTTGAACACATAATTTGACTCATAGCGAAAATTCATGCACACTCATAAAAAAAGTTATGAAAACAAAACATTTGCAAGTTCGTGGGCAGGTTGGAAACAAAATCGACAAAAAAATTGACACACCAAAATTAATTTGTTTCGAGAAACACTTTTGCACTCCATTTTGACATACTGCAAAGTTTTCTCAACCCGATTAGATCAAAAAGCACTAGCTGACTCTTCCAAAACTAGGTGTCCAGAATAAAAGGACCATTTCATACATTAAAATGCTTTCAGCCATCTTTAGAACTCTTTTCGGAGGCCGGAAAGAATAGAGTTTGAGGAAGTATGAGATTCTTTGTTTTCGAGTCATATGGAAAATAAAATAATATTATTACAAAATATTAAACTACATTATGCTCCAATGGTTTATGCGTTTCCCAGAGATTTTCTTCTCTCTCGAAAAAATGGCGTTAGAAGTCCCCTTTAGCTTGAACTAAGTTTGTAGTGCCTCTCAAAAACTGATCCAGTTCAGAAGTTTGTTTGGCAATCGGAGCTGTCTTTGGTTTTTCGTCTTCGGTTGGTTTTGAGTTTAAAACTTCTCTAAACTCTGTCACAATTAGCTCCGACTCTGTTGAGTTTGTCGGATTGCTTCGGGCAGTTGATGATTGTGCCGATTTTATAGGCGACATCGGTCGGGGCGGTGAGTCGTCTTTTTCGGGTGGCTCCGCTGGGATGATATCACGAAGTTTGTGTCGCTTAGCAATTTCGCGCGCTTTTTCAAGTGCTCGGATATCGGGAAAAGTTGGAACCGGTACCGAAAGCATATTTGAAAACGATTCAGATGCAGCGGAATCGAACCTAACACTTCGGAATTTTTGATTTTCAGTCTCGTCTTCGATTCGCGATTTCAGTCCGTTTCGGTGAATCCTTGGCGCACCACTGGCAAAATTTCGTAAATTTCTAGCAGCATTTCTCAAATTAATATTTGCAGCTAAAGCTTTTTTACGTCTTGCGGAAGATTTTGCTGCCGCTTTTGGCTTGAGTTTAAATTTAGACTGCGGCCTTTTTAAAATTGAGTTTGTGGAACTTTTATGAATTTTGTTTTCGGGCGAGGGGGTGACTGAAGCACTTCGATTGTTTTCGTCGGCTACATATTTTCGCATTCGGGTGAAACTAGAGTTGTAATCTATGGGACCCCTATATGCTTTGATGCTTGTGTCCACTCCTGGTGACAAGGGGGTGTACTCTTTCGCAGCTATGTAACTTGCCCTGAGCTCAGATGTTTTGGTTGGTTTTCCGCCGAGTGGCCCAAAAGGAATTGATGAGTAATCAGTCGCTTTTTCAATTCTGCGCCGATAAAATTGTTTCCGAATTCCTGAAGAACAAATCTAATGCAAACGTTTTGAGCTGCTTTTACGGTTTCGATTAGCAAGCGTATTCAATTAAGGACAGACTTTTTTTCTTGTAAATTGCCGAACCAGGCGCGTATTTAGGATTTTCTCGAGGGGGGGGGGGGGGTTAGCAGCTTGTTTATGAAAAACACTCGAGCCATTTGTGATGCTGATGTGCTGGTGACATGCTCAGTTTCATGAAAATTCAAATTTATTTACTGGCTACAAGTCACCAGCGTATGTTAGGGTGAAGGTCCTCTCTGTACTATTTTGAGATCTCCATTTTTGGCTGACGGACCCTAAATTTTTCTGAAGGCGCCTTTGTTGCCAATATATAATAAATTGAATGGGGAAGCGCGCGCCGAAAAGACGCCAATTTTTTTGGTCAAAATTTTCTAAAAAGTGCCAAAAACATCTTTTCTGGCCTGTCTTTTCAAAGTTTTGCCTGCGGCTTAGAAACTTTGATCACAATAAGTTTTTATAGGGATTTGTGAGAGCTCGGAAAATCAATTAGGTCGAAGTAAAAAAAAAGATTGATAAAATTTCAAATTATTTTGAAAATCCGCGCCTTCTTCAAAAAACCCTAGATCCGCCCCTGCCACTAGTCAATACTAGCAAATGCTTCAATGTAAGTCACAGGACATTGAAGTTGCAATTTTTTTGATTTCAAGGAGCAAACGATTGAATTTTTACCTTCACGTTTTTAACGTTTTCTCTGCGAATTGTATAGATAAAGGATTAAAACTTTGACTTTTGCTAGATGAAAATATTTTAAAGGAGCCTACTGAATCGGATGTTGACAGATTTAAGTTTCAAGGCATTTGAATTTGAATTTATGGGCTCAAACTGGTTCTTTGGTAAGTTGATGATCTGAACTTAGTCTCTATGCCGCGGAAAAATCACAGATAAAAAATTTAAAAAGTTAATTAATCCGGCGTCAAAAAATGGTCTATCTGTTTTCACTAAATTGATTTTAAAAGATCTTGGGCGCTTATATCAGAATTTTGGACAAAAATTAGAGACAACAAAACAGCTTATGAGAAACCTGTACATGGATCGAAGTAGTCATTTTTCTATAATATCAATTGAAACAGTTCTTTTGTTTTCCTCTTTCGATCATCAGTGCAAAATTTCTTATAAAATTTTAACCACCGGAGCCAGTAAAGTTTTCGACTTTTTTTCTGTCGTTTGTCTTCTGCGGAGATGCTAAGCGAAAACTATTAGCTTCCCAAAGAACCGGCTTGATCCCATAAATTCACGTTCCTTGTTTTTTTAGCAATAATGTTTCCAGAGCAAGAATGTTTCCACACCTCTCAAAATATTTTTGGTTATACTGGCTATTTTATGCCTTCAAATTAAGCTTTCTCATTATTTCATCCGGTAAGCTCCATCCAAATAGTTTCATCTAGAATGTGTCAAAGTTTCAATCCTATTTCGTTAATATTTTCAAAAAAAAAATTAAAAAAAAAATCCGTTCATTTGTTTGCTGAAAGCAAAAAGTGGCAAATTTTATGTCCCGTGAGTGTAGAATTAAGACGGTTAATAATTTTTTTGGATCTAACTTTTCCGGACGTTTTCTTGAAAAAAGTTTTTGACTTTGTGCGATTGTCTCATTTTCTGTAGGCTAGCTTGACATGCTAGCTTGTTGGTGATGTATCGCAAGTCTCCTAAAAATATGATTGCGCAGGTGGGTTTAAGTGTTGTACCATATAAATGCGCCTCTGATATATGATTAGGTTTAAGAAACTTTTTTAAGTAAGACATTTCTTTAAAAAGCTTCAAAAATGGGCATTTCCAAAAGCTGTTTGGATTTCTTTGCTACATAGATTACATTATTTCAAGGAACAGATAATTTTGATCTTCACTTTGGCAAAATAATGAATTGTTTTTTAGAAAACACTTGTAACATGGCTGATTATTTAGTAGATTGAAAAACTATCTTTTCGGGCTGCACTTGAAATAAAAAAGCAACAGGAATTATAAAGAATATTGTTTTTGTTTTTGTAAGCTAACAGTAGTTCTTTGGAACATTCCATGCTTCCAGCACTGCGACCAACTACTCTAATTTTATATAGGTATCATGATTTGTCTATGTTACCTCTTCGTTGTCTCAGTTTATTCTGCCTCTTGAATTTCCCCTCCAACAGTTGCACACCCTCATCTCCCCACCCGTGCATCACTTCCGAAACAAGTCCCCCCTCGGAAGGAAACTTCGGATCCCCAACTCCATCCCCGTGATCTCTGACGACCTCATCCTCATCATTACCCAACTGAAGGGTCAAATCCTCCCTTCGGAACAGTTCCTTAGGGGTAATTTGCCCCCCGTTGTCCCCACCGTACTGCACATTGTACTGTTTGTATTGTTTGTTCAGGTAGGGTCTGAAGTTCATGGGGTTGTTGGGGTCCTCTTCATCTTCATCGTCACTTTCACGTCGCCCCTCTTGACTCCCTGGGCAGAAAAATTAAAAATTTCACAAAAAGTTGAATTTCACCAAGATTTTTTTTTCAGATAGAATTGATTTTGAAAACAACACTTCATACATTTTCTTTGAAAAGCTTGGCCCAGGGAGTCAAATAAGAACGCAATCCATAAATTTATAAATAAATGAACATACCATCTGAAAATATTTATACTCTCAACTGACACGATTTAATGAGATGACTGAAAAGTTCGAGAAGTTCGATTAGTCAGTTCAGTTATTGACACTCCTTCTGGACCAAGACTATCAAAGTTTTAAAAAATCATTTTATAGAAATATGTTTTATTTTTACTTTAAAGGGAAAATTAGCCTTCGAACGTACAAAAATTTAACATTTTTCAATTAGTACACGAAACATTCCACTAAAAAGTTTTCCATGCTGTTTGTCTTCTCATTTTTCTGTAGTTTGGTCTACATTTGCTGTTTTCGACTGGATGATTCAGACGAGGATCTTTGGGACATGGAAGATCCAGCTCCTGTCTGACGCTGTTGCATGGAAGAAGCCCTAGATCCACGGGCGGCGCTGGCACTTTGTCCTGAAATGGTTCTTTTTTAATCAAATCATACTTCAAGGGTAGATGTTACCCATTTGCACTATATTTACCCTCTTAACCAGATTATCTGATGAAATTCGTTGAGAATTTCAGAATTGCCAAATAACCAACAATCAATTTCAACCTTCAAATTCTCAAATTTATCACATGTTGGTTTGCTTCCAAATAGATTTTAAAAATACTAAAATCAGGAACGGATATAAGAAAAATTGGCTCGTATATCTTCCTCTCTATTTGGGAGCAGGATGTTATGCCACTCAAAAACCAGTGGAGACAGTTTGAGTATTATTTTATGACGTCCAGTTTTGGCGGGTTGTTTCTCAATTGACTCTTTAAGAATAATTAAAGGACATATCACGTACCACCAACACTGGTTGGTCGCCCCATTGATTGTGACATTCCACCTCTGGACTGGCCATTCATTGCCGTCGAAGCACGTTGGGACCCACGAAGCATCGATCCGGATCCCGAAGGGCCACCCCTAGATATAGCAGCGCTTCCGCTTTGGCCCCTGGATCCCATTGCACTCCCACTTTGGCCCATCGATTCCATGGCGCTTCCGCCTTGGCCCTTTGATCCCAATGCACTCCCACTTTGGCCCATCGATCCCATTGCACTTCCACTTTGGCCCCTGGATCCCATTGCATTCCCACTTTGGCCCCTGGATCCCATTGCACTCCCACTTTGGCCCCTGGATCCCATTGCACTCCCACTTTGGCCCATCGATCCCATTGCATTCCCACTTTGGCCCCTGGATCCCATTGCACTCCCACTTTGGCCCCTGGATCCCATTGCACTCCCACTTTGGCCCATCGATCCCATTGCATTCCCACTTTGGCCCCTGGATCCCATTGCACTCCCACTTTGGCCCCTGGATCCCATTGCACTCCCACTTTGGCCCATCGATCCCTTTGCATTCCCACTTTGGCCCCTGGATCCCATTGCACTCCCACTTTGGCCCCTGGATCCCATTGCACTCCCACTTTGGCCCATCGATCCCATTGCATTCCCACTTTGGCCCCTGGATCCCATTGCACTCCCACTTTGGCCCCTGGATCCCATTGCACTCCCACTTTGGCCCCTGGATCCCATTGAACTCCCAGTTTGGCCCCTGGATCCCATGGCGCTTCCACTTTGGCCCCTGGATGCCATTGCACTTCCACTTTGGCCCCTGGATCCAAAACCGCTACCGCTTTGGCCCCCACCTCTAGAAAACATAGCACTTCCACTACCTCCCCTGGATCCTCCTCTGGATCCACCTCTGGATTGCGAGGCACTTTGCTGTGACGTCATTCTCATTTGGCTCTGACTTTCTTCCGGCTGCGCGCTACTTGCGTTACTTTGCGACGCGGTAGCTGGAGTTGATATCGTCGGTGGAGAGTCTGATCGGCCTCCTTCCGGATTCGGAGAACCAGACAATTGTTCCATCGAGTTTTCTGGAACCTGGGTGTCTTCGCCGTTTCCCACTTCCTCCTCGGAGGAAACGCGTGGATCTTGTTCATCTGGTTCAATTCCACCACTTTCTGAACACCAAATTTTTCAATCAGTTAATCCTAAATTTATTTTTTTGATAACTTCTTTCCTGAGGGATTTTACATCTTTCATTTTTTTTGCTCCTGACAATTTTTTTCAAAACCTTCGTAATTGAATTTTGAAATAAACCTCTTTGTTGGGAAGACTGGCGCATAGATTTTTTCGCTCCCGATTCTTGCATGCCTGATGATTCGCGCATGTCTCTCGAGTAGAAAGACTCCCTCGTATCGCTAGGTCTCTCGGGGTACTGGTTTACTAAGGAAGAGGCTTTGAACTGGTAACTGCTGCCTGCTCTCACAAATGGGTGGTTTAAAATGCTTCGTGGTTAAAGCATTTTTTTTTCCAAACAGGTTATCTCAAAGTTTCAAAGTTTGTTTTCTTGATTTTTAATCTTGAATTGTGTTCATAAATAAAATTGAAAGTCGTAGGTCTGATCAAAGTTATTGAATATTTATAACAAAAAATTAATGCTAAAAAATTGCGCAACTAAAATTTTCATTTGATTCTTTGTTTTAAATAAGAACAAGTAATTTCTCATCCTCTTTTTGTATACTTCAGTTTTTAGGTAGCATACTCACCCGATATTCCCGAAATTCGGGGATCGTTCTTCGAAGGCTGCTTTCCTTTCGTGCTTCCCAGCATGGATTCTCCTTGCGGGTCGTCATTTGAATTTTCCGCGGTCATGCCGAAAACTGGATCCTCTTTGGACACTCTGCTTCCCTGTCCGGCACTTTCTGATACCATGCCACTACTCTTGGTCATTCCACGCGCTACACTACCACCTCTGGATGCCGAGGAACCTCCCGCACGACTTCCGCCTCGTCCTATGGTTCCACCACGACTACCGCCGCCTCGGCTCATCCCACTGCCACCACCTCGACTGCCGAAAGGTCCTCCGCGGCTTCCCATTGCAGAACTGCCACGGCTCCCAAATGTACTAGCACCCCGACCCGGTGGTCCACCTCGGCTACCACCACGCATTTTTGATCCACGAACACTGCTGCCACCACGTCCCGGTGGACCACCTGCGCTCCGGCCACGACTGCCGCCAGACCAGGGTCCGAACTCTTCGCCATCGCCATTGGGATCCATCATTGGATCGTCTTCCGGATCCCCTTGCATTTCGTCACCTTCAGGAGGATCATCAAACATGCTTCCCTCGTCCTGACTTCCCTGAAAACCCATCGAGCTGTGATGACCACCTCCAAACCCAGACATCGGTCCTCCCTGTGACATGCCTCTGCAATTGAAAGAAAGTCAAATATCAGATCAGACTAAACCGAAAAAGAATAAAATAGAGTAGATTCGATAATGGTGAGGAATCCGGCTTGAATTAGAATATACCTAGAATGATACCTAGAATATCTAGAAGGTCCTCCAACTCGAGATTGCCCTGGACTTCTTGCCCCAGGACTACTGATGTAACGAGACCCTATAGCAACATCGACACATATAAATTCTATTTTGATTTTATACAGGTTAATGCCAGACATCTTTTGAAATTTTTCTTGGTAAACTGAATTTTGAATTGTAATCTAGTAGCGAATATCTGCAACGTATCAAGTACCGGCAAAATAATTATCCTGGAATCCGGAGCAGAAAAAACAACAAAAAAGTGGAAAAGACTACGCACCTCCTCGTGATCCTCGAATACTCCCCCCTCTGGATCCCCTTTGAGGTGCTCTGGGGGTGGTCCCGGCATTGGATGGGGCTTTAGATCCCGGAGACATGCTCTGGGGTCTCTCCATAAACGACTCCTGGTCTTCTCCTTGCATAGAAAGTGACGGGTCTCGACCTGAAAAGGAAACTTAGTTCAAAAACAAAGGACGCACACGAAGCTTATATTTTTTCGTGTTTTTAGATTATTTTTGATAAAAATAAAAACCAAAAAAGTTTATGTTTTCATGATCAAAGCTCAAAAGAATGAATATTTATAATAAGTTTCCCAGATACTCCTATTGTTTTTCATAACAGCGAAAATTGTTTCTCACTGGCTAAGAATCCGTTCTTAGGGGGTCCCTGAGATTGTCCCTGAGACATGCGTGAAAACACTCCCCTCTGGTAGTCTGTAGTGTACTTCTGATTGCCCCCTGCATTGATGGGGCTTGGGGGGTAGTTGCCCTGGGGAGGCTGGTCACGAAAGTTCCCCGCATGAGAGCTCATTTCACCACCTATGTCAATTTATGCCATTTTAGTGTGTATTACCAATGAATATGTTTTCAAATAGGTTTTAAAAAATTCCGCCGGAAATCTTTTTTATAAGACCAGAGTGTGACATCGCCAAATCCTGTTTTTTACCAGGTGTAGATTCAATTTTGAAGGATAGGGTGGAGTATCTAAACTGATATTTGCAAACTTTTTTTAATCGAAACTGCGTCTTGAATTCATACTGCTCTCTTATTCAAAAAAACATAGCCAACAGATGGTTTAAAAAGTGTAGAAAACGTGAATGAAACCAAAAAGAGTTAAAAAAATTTCTCAAACTCAATGAAACCAAAAAAATGATTAAAAATTGTTTGAACAATTTTCATACTCAATAAAACCAAAAAAAAGTTGATCAAACTCTTGTGAACATTTTTCAAATTTCAAATACCTTATCATTCATCACATATGCTGAAGAATAGAGTGGTCAATAAATTGAGCATCCAGCTCGTCTCACCTTGACTGGCTTGGAAGTCGTGAGTGTATCTTTCTGAAATCCTAGAGGGTTTAGTTGCATTTGGAGTGAAAGAAGGATTTCTGCTCTGGATCATCCTAAAAAATCCATATTCTTGTATTAACCCATATTTCACTATATCGGGTTCTTAGAAAGATCCATTTTACAGACGTAAAAAAACCCTAAAAAATGAATTGAATAGTTTTCATCTAATGAAAAAAGAGCTTTAATATATCAATACTCCAGGTTCAGTCAAAAAAGCCTTACCCGCGTGATCCTCTTCCGCCTCCTCTTGAAGGGCTTTTGCTAGTTCCTCTTCCCCTTCCTCCGCCCCTTGAAGCCGACCCTCCCCCTCGAGACCCACCACTCCTACCTTTGGGTCCCCCTCTCGGTCCTCCCATAGATCCATCGGGACTACATTGACCTCCATGATCTTCACCATGAGGACCCCCGTGCGGATCATGAGGACCGCCGTGCGCATCATGAGGACCGCCGTGCGAATCATGAGGTCCTCCATGCGAATCATGAGGACCCCCGTGCGAATCATGAGGTCCTCCATGCGAATCATGAGGCCCCCCGTGCGAATCATGACCTTCGTCATTGTCTTGGGGTCCAAATGGATTTTTGTTGCCGAACATGACGTTAGCACCTCCTCCCATTCTGCCCAATCTTTGATCCATGCCATTTGAAGGACACGGGCAGCATCCAGGGCCAGCCGATCCCACGTGACAGCAAGGAGGAGGCAAAGCGATGTATCTGGACTGATCAAAACAAAAACCGTCATTTTAACGACCTTGTATTGTAACCGTAGACCAGGTATTTAAAAGTTTTAAAAAAATGTGATTGTGACCTGAAATTTTGAAATGTTTGAACGTTCAACTAATAACTCAAAATTGTTTTTTAATTCCTACGTACATAATGAAACCTTCGTAATTCAAGTTTTTATTCAATAAACTTTGCTTCAGTGCAAATTATTAGAATACCAGCTTTTTTGTTTCTTTGCGCCTCATCTAGTTAATTTCATCAAAAGTCTGATGAAATTTTCTACACCTTGCGAAGCGTATTTGCGACTGAGCTCAAAATAAAACTTAACTGCAATCATAATTTATAAAAAAAACTGATGTCTGAAAATTCTCATTTCGGCCAGTTTGGAACATTTAGTCAGCTTTGTGTCTCAAGTAATTGTTCCGACTTTTGATATGAAATTAGCGAAATATTTGTGCTCGGGGTGGGTCTTTTATTCTTCAGACAATTTCAACTTTTTAACTAGCCATTTTTGACGGAATTTTTTTTTAGATCGTTCGAAAGTTATTGTTGTCCTCAGCTTAAATTTGAAACGATATTTCACCTGTGATCATTTTTCGTAAAGTTATGAGGGTTTGAAGATTGCCACTTTGGCCATTTTGGCCAATTTGGGACAATTAATGCGCTATTAAATTTGGGATACATTTTGCGCTATTAACGAGTAAGCGGAGATTTAATCCGTCTTAGAAATCGTTCCAAATTGGTTCAAGGAAGATTATATGCCATAATTGATTTGTTAATAGGAGCAAAATCTACCACTTTGCACTTAGTATGGCGTGTGGGGGGATGTTTTAATTTTAATTTTACTTTATAAAATTTAAATTTTCCATGTTATTACTGCTCCATAGACCTTAAAAGGCAGTCGGAACATTCAGGCTTCTCCTTGATACGAGCTGTCTTATTTTAATTTAGGCAATAAAACTGCTCCTATTTATGCGTTCTGAAGAAACATTAATATATTAAAACATAACCAACAGACAAATGGAAAAGAGTCATTGAACGCAAGTAAACAGAAAAAAAATTGAGTTATCGACTTTCAAAAAGTAGATGATTTTGTAGATCTGATTTTCTAGAACAATTTATGGCACTTTTCTGATATAATTGACCCAATTTGAGAAAACTTGATCAATAAATGTAATTTTTATTTCGCTGGAAAATCTGAAAAGTATATTCAACTTTTCAAACGATGAAATTTGCTGTTCGATAATTTGCTTTTAATAACGGAAATGAAATAAACTTGAAAATAGATCAGAAAATGTATCGCAACTTAATGAACATAAATTGGCCAAAAACTGGCTTTTTTTAACACCCATAACTTTATGAAAACGTAACTAGTGAAATCGCTAGTACTTTCGAGGCCAAGACAATCATAGTTTTTGGATGATAAAAACTTTCCGATAAAATGGCTTGCTCAAAAAGTGAAAATGTTTTGTAGAAAAAGCCACACAGACTACAAAAATTCCTTCACTTTCTTTGAAGAAACGCTGCAAAAACTGCATCTTTCAGCACACTGAAAAAACCAGTTAGCGATTAATCGGATATGAAATCTTAAAATGTTCGTAAAATTTTAGCAAATTTTCTCACAAGAAATTACTACACATATCAAGACACTCCTAAAAATGAAATACAATTAAAAAATAAACTCATTGCGTCAATATTTTTCAGATGGTATAAGAAACTCTGTTCAAAAATGGTCCGTTAAATTTGAAATTTTTCTGCAGAAAAGTAAGCACATGGAGCAAAAAACTTTAATCTTTTGTTCGAAAATGGGATCGAAGAGGTGCAAAAGGAGCTTCTATTTTTCGTCCTTTATATTTACTCAAAAAGGGTCCATATATTTACTCAAAAATTTTGCAAAAAAAAAGAATAGCAAAATGAAGGCCCTATTATTATGTTTAGTTCATTCAAGTGTTGGTATGCACTTTCGATTGTTTTTTCGGTTTTTAAAATAGCGAGCATGGACTCTTATATCCTACTTTTTCAATCAGAGACCTCAAACTGGGTCTGTGGAAGACCTGATTCAATTTTTTCCCAAAAATTTCAAAAGCTGTTTTCAGTTCGAAAGACTCGTAGACTCATTTTGATGCAATCAAATGCTGAAGCTCAACTTTGTAAGTATATTCTAACTGGAAAACTGTTATGAATAAATACTTTAATTTTTGAAGAAAAAAAATCACATCACTGTATAAAATGTTTGTGTATTTTACAAACTTCACTATCAAAATGAGTCTTGGAGCGTATAGAGAGTGTTAGTCTGGCTTTCGAACTGACTATGTCGATCAGTTAAGGATTGGTAGGTAGTAGGATGGGTTAAACCTGGTAGCTGGAAGGGTAGCAGAATGAATCGATGGATGGGTAGATGCCTGGATTCTGAGGGGGACAGTAGACTGTCTGAGGACGCCAACAGTTGGTCTTGCAATCTGAAACCCGAAAGTTTAAAATTTGCAAATCTGAAAACTTTGTCTTCGTTAAAATTGCCATCGACAGTTTTCTTTCAGACTCTTATCGACTTATAAACTACAATCTAATTCTTTATTTCCCCCACTTAGCAGTAGCAGATTCGTTACAAGGTAAGAAAATCCAATATGATTAACCGTTGAATTAGTTCTTTACAGGGTTGGCAATTCGTTACTAGGTACCGCAAAGAGATCCAGCAACTACAAAATTAAAACGCGCCATAAAATTTTCCTCGCTAGTAAATTTTTTCAAATTTAAATACATTTTAGGCTCTTTTCCAGTCCCCCTTTGATTTTTTTCTGAAATGTATTATATATAAGTCAATTTAAATTGGCCTTTCATGTTATAAACTGCATTAAAACGTGTCAGCGTGAAGAGGTGAACAAATTTCTTCACCTTTCGAACATACAAATTGCTTTAACTATGAACAATTTTTTAACTTTGTTTTGTAATTTTACGAGGGGGTTGGGAAACTGGAGTAGACCCCATTTTAAGTATAGATTTTTTTTTGACAAATCTGACCCAATTGAGAAAACGACAAACAACAATTGGCTTATTTGGTTGAAATATAAATCACTACCAAGACATAATAAAAACATTTTTCAGCCATTTCCTTTTTTCACATAAGAGGTTAAAATCTACATAGTTTAAATGTGAAGGTGACCTTGTTTAAAAAAGAACAATTTTTTAAATTGAATGTCAGTTAAACCAAGTAATGAAAAAATTTTAAAAACTGAACTACCGAGTTTCAAAAGAAAAAAGTATAATCTGTTAGAGCTGTCCGAATTTGAAAAAAAATTCTTGATTGACTTCTGTATGTGTATCTGACCTATTCCGAATGATTGGACCTAAAGACAAAATTTTTGTTCGCCGGTAAATTGGAAATTTACAATCCACTTTGTAATATGAAAGTCATTCACTTTTTTGCGTCAATTAGAGTTTTGTTATTGGAGAGCTCAAGTTCTCCTGCTTTTAATTAGTGATGTTGAATTAACCTTAAGAAGATAGAAGTTAAAATGTGAAAACGAAAGGTAAACCTCTAAGCAAGGATAAAAATTTTGTCACTTTTAAAAAATAAATGGAACAAGAGTGCTAATTGTTCTGACTTTAGAAGAAAGTAAGGAAAATATACGCTCGGAGTGTTTTATTTTCATTCAGACCTTTTCTCAAAAAAATTGACTCAATGCGCATTTTTTAAGCGTAGCGAAATATACCGCACCACAAAATAATTCCAAATTAATTGACGTAGGCTAAATGGTGCTACTAACTCCATACACGATTCTTAAAATTCAGCTGAAAATTCATAGTTTGTCAATATTTCATTGCTCAAAAACTATTTGAGACCAGTTTATGGACAGTCAAAACATTCAGGGTGATGCCCTTATACGAGCAGTCTTGCTATATCATTTAAACAATTGTTTAAATATCACATTTAGCCTGAATCAAAAAATCATGAACATTCCTGTCCTGTTTTTTTTCTCGAGAGCGGAAAAAAATTGTTTGTATCCAAAGTTATTTTATGTTTTTTTTTCTGACTTTCGAAAAAAGACCAAGTCTTGCGCCCGGGGAGACCGATTTGAGAGCTTATGATTAATCAATTTTGATGAAAATTTCGGCTCTTTTCCACTTTTTTCCCCCACTTTTCAAGGTTTCAATTTTTTAAGTTGTTTTACGTGTGATTATAACTAAACGCATGATGTTAGGTTGTAAGGTATTAAGAGCAGATATGTTCACAAATGCTAATTTGGTTCACTATGCCGTTTTTATTGCATGACGACGTTAAAGTTATGTTTCCAAATTGAAGTTGAAAGATGGGGGAAAGTGGAAAGGAGCCGAAAATTCTACATCTCATAATTTTTCCTAAAATTCAACTCACGAAAGTCATTTTTATATTTTCTTGATATTCTAAAACGCAAAGCAAAAAAAATAATCTTGAATGAACGAAAATACCGTGAATTCCCAATTATTATAATACTACATGCTAATAATCGAATGAGTTATTTGTACCTATGTTATAAGGAGTTTCGGAAACTGGGAAAAAGCCACAAGCGCGTAAAATTTCCAGTATTTTAGCGCGTAGCAGAAGCGACATCTTTTTTGCTTGAAAACTTTTTTTAAATGAGGCTCTCGAAATGCTCCACAATTTTTTTATTTAGACACGGTTTTTTTAAACTATTTTCCATTAAGCCCTCGCATATTTCAAGTTTTGGTTTTTCCTCCACCTGCCACCTGCAAATTTTATAAAAATAATTTTTGTGTACACTATCCAATTAAAAAAAAAATTGACATACGGACTAATTAGATTAAGACAAACAAACTTGGCCTGTATAATTGACCTTGTAAAACCAAACGTTACATCGTTGATACTCGTGCGAGGTGGGGCAGAAAGGAAAAAGAG